TCCTGTAATCCCAGCACTTTGGGAGGCCGAGCCAGGCAGATCACCTGAGGTCAGGAGTTTGAGACCAGCCTGGCCAACATGGTGAAACCCCATGTATTAGTCAGGGTTCTCTTAGAGGGCCAGAACCAATAGGGGGGAGAGAGAGAGAGAGAAAGAGAGAGAGAGAGAGAGAGATTATTAAGTGTTAACTTACATGATCACAAGGTCCCACAATAGGCTGTCTGCAAGCTGAGGAGCAAAGAGAGCCAGTCCAAGTTCCAAAACTAAAGAACTTGGAGTCCAATGTTCAAGGGCAGGAAGCATCCAGCACAGGAGAAAGATATAGGCCGGGAGGCTAGGCTTTTCTCGTCGCTTCACGTTTTTCTGTCTGCTTTATATTTGATGGCAGCTGATTAGATGATGCCCACCCAATTAAGGGTGGGTCTGCCTTCCCCAGCCCACTGACTCAAATATCAATCTCCTTTGGCAACACCCTCACAGACACACCCTGGATCAGTATTGCATCCTTCAATCCAATTGAGTTGACATTTAGCGTTAACCATCACAAGTCCACCCTTTGTCAACTTGAACCCATACACATCTCCTGAGGTCATACATAATCTTCAAATAAAGACAATCATAAGGTCATAATTATGCCTAACATAATACAACTGTCTTTCATACAACCAGAAACGCACTAATCCCCAATCCAAATACTATTACGTAAAGTTAACAATACTTAGAATCTGATATGAAGTCAATAAATCTTATGTCACATGACAAAGGAAAAGGAAATAAAATGAAGATATTTTCTTAGTACAAGTGTGTATATGCACAAACATGTTTTTAACAAAAGAAGGAGGAAATACTCACGACGATTACAGTCCTCATTTCTGCAGCTGGTACCTGCAAGCACCTCAGCAGGTAATGGTTTTTTTTTTTCCTGGTGGAGTGACCCAAACCTTCATTCCTGAAGGGTCTGGGTCATTTGTAGTCCTGCCTGGATTGGGCTATTGTAGTTTCCCATTGACCTTAATCACAGGGCATGGTAATACTAAGAGACACCCTAATGGATCTCCTGTATTCCCTGTGCACTCTTCCTTACATCCGTTGTGGAGCAGTGGACTGATTTCATCTTGATAGCCTGGGTCAGTGACCCCAGCTAACACAGTAACTTCCTTCTTAGCCTGTTGACTTAAAGGTAGGAGGATCCCAAAGTGTCCAGGTGGCAATCTTAACTTCCACTTTAATGGAATCACTGTTGTGTATCCTGGTGGCAGCAGTCCTCCCTCTGGAACTAAGACCTCTAAGCCAGCAGAACATAATGTCGCAGGAACAGGAAGTAAAAATTTTGCTAGTGGATCACTAGGGGTGATGGTGACCCTTTGATTCCTGGACCCGTGAATCCTGGCCATGGAAGAAGCAGTACCACATATTGGACGCTGATTCAGAGCATACATGGCCTTCTGGAGAACTTTGCCTCAGTCCTGCAAAGTATTGTCACTATAATTGTGACTTCAAAAGGCTATTCCACCGTTCTATCAATCCAGCTGCTTCAGGATGATGGGGAATATGGTAAGACCAGTGAATTCCATGAGCATGAACCCGTTGCCTCACTTCTTCTTTTCTTTTCTTTTCTTTCTTTATTCCTTTTCCTTATTCTTCTCGTTTTTTTTTATTATTTTTTATAAGATGGAGTTATTTGCTCTTGGGTTGCCGCAGGCTTGGGAGGTGCCAATGGCATGATCTCAGCTTCACTGCAACCTCCTCCTCCAGACTCCGAGCCATTCCCTGATCTCAGCCCACCGAGTAGCTTGGGATTACAGGGTGCCACAGCCACCATGCCCCAGACTAATTTTTGTATTTTTTTATAGAGAGGGTTTCCCCATGTTTGCCCAGGCTGATTTTGGACATCCTAGCTTCCAAGTGATCCCTATCTTGGCCTCCCCAAATGCCTAGGATTACAGGAAGGGGTAAGAGACACACCCTGATGCTGGCCCAAACTCCGTCTGTTTCTTAATTTCCAAACTGCTTGACTGCTCTGCTAGGGATGTCCCAAAGTTTCTAGCTACCAGCATGTGTCTAAACATTCTGTCCTTGATTGGAGGGCTCCTTAGGGTGAGACTGGTAGTTTTCCCAATCCAAGATCAAGGCTACTATGAGAGCTAAACAGTCCCTCCATCAGACTGGAAGGCTCAGCTTACAAGGGCTATGTCTCCTCAGCTTAGACTGGTATCGGTCAAGGCTGGACTCGCCTCTGCTTCTTATAGAGATTAGGGATTCCCTGGAAGGGGTGCACACTGCTCTT